GGTGCTTGTGTTGTGTGTGGTGTGTGTAGAGTGTGTGTTTGTGTTGCTGTGTGTGTGTATGTGTGTGTGTGTGTGCTGTGTGTGTGTTGTTGCTGTCCTGTGTGCTGTGTTACTGTGTGAGTGTCGTAGTGAGTGTGTGTGTGTGTGTGTGTGTGTGATGTGTGTTGTAGGTGTTGTGTGTGTATGAGTGTGTGTGTGTGTTTGTGGTGAGTGTGTGTTTGTGTGTGTGTGTGTGTCGTGCGCCGGCGCGCGTTATGTGTGCTCTGGTGTGTGTGTGTGTGAGTGTGTGTGCTGTCATGTGTGTGTGTGTATTCCTATATGTGTGATCAACAGGAGGAATCGGTCATTTATCAACCAAAAAATAACATTAGCAGCAGTAGCAATGATAATAACTATAATACAATAATCAATAATATTATATATTAAATATGAATAATAGCGCAGTATTTGCAATAATATGTATAGTATATGATAATATTATCTATATATATATATATTATATATATATATTAATATAAAACACATGATATTTGGACGTTTGGTATATTAACGCGCTACATACTTATTTAACTTTTGCCAACGCCATTACTTACGGTGATGAAGAATCTCATACTCATTGCGATTTTTTGCCCAAGACTATGATACACAGGCATATGATTTTCGGACAAGAGGATTAGGGATTCTGAAATGACTACCGCCACGGCGCTGCTAAACAGAACTGAGTAGGTAGTAGCAACTAGCAGAATATTGAACACGCCCCGCACTCACAATTCAGCACCGTTGTTTTATTATCAGTGTGGTAATCTCACGTTAGGCGTGACTTTGGCGTCACGCTGTCAGTTTGAGTGAAATGGAGGTGTCGTGAACGTTGTGTCGACTGCTACGTGAGGCGAATGACGTGTTTAGTAACTATGCGTTCAGTGTTGGGATTAAATCGACATCTTAGTAAAGTTGATTCGACTGTCAGGGACAGATAACGCATTAGTAAGATTCGTTCACTGTCAGTCGCATGGAATGGACGTGTTCTAGTATACGTTGTTTGACTGTCAGTGTGGCGATTGGACCGTGTTAGTTAGGTTGTTTGACTGTCAGTATTCAATGTGACGTCGTTAATACAGGTTGTTTGAACTGTCAGTGAATGAATATGGACGTCGTTAGTAAGTTGTTGACTTGTCCGTGAGGGAATGGACGTGTTAGTAAGGTTGTTTGACTGTCCGTGAGGGAATGGACGTGTTAGTAAGGTTGTTTGACTGTCAGTGGTTGCATGGGGCGTGTTGAATAAGCGTTGTATTGACTGTCCGGTGAGGGAATGGACGGTTAGTAAGCGTTGTTTGACTTGTCGTGAGGAATGGACGGCCCTGTTAGTTAAGGTTGTTTGACTGTCAGTGAGGGAATGGACGTGTTAGTAAGGTTGTTTGACTGTCAGTGTGGCGATGTGGGCGTGTTAGTCAGGTTGTTTGACTGTCAGTGGTGCAATGTGGGCGTGTTAGTAAGGTTGTTTGACTAGTTCGTGTGGGACATGGACGGTCGTTTAGTCAGGTTGTTTGACTGTCAGTGAGGGAGATGGACGCTGTTCATAGTAAGGTTGTTTAGACTGTCCAGATTGACTGGCAATATGTGGCGTGTTTAGTAAGGTTGTGTATGACTGTTCCGTAGCATAGGGAACTGGACGTGTTAGTAAGGTTGCTTTGAGCTGTCAGTGAGGAATGGAGTGTTAGTAAGGTTGTTTGACTGTCAGTGGTTGCAAGTGGGCGTGTTCGTAAGGTTGTTTGGACTGTCCGTGAGGGACATGGACGTATTGGTTCAGTAAGGTCTTGTTTGACTGATCAGGTGCAAGGGAACTGGACGTGTTAGTCAGCGTTGTTTGACTGTCAGTGCGCTGCAATGTGGGCGTCGTTAGTAAGGTTTGTGACTCGTCATTGAGGGAATGGACGTGTTAGTTAAGGTTGTTTTGACTAGTCAGTGAGGAATAGGACGTGCTTTAGTAAGGTTGTGTTGGGACTGCTCCGTGACAGGAATGGACGTGTTTAGTAACGGTTGTTTGACTGTCGCGTGGGCGAATGGACGTGTTAGTAAGGTTGTTTGACTTCAGTGTGCAATGTGGGCGCTGTTAGTAAGGTTGTTTGACTGTTCCGTGAGGGAATGGGACGTGTTCAGTAAGCGTTCGTTTGACTGTCAGTGAGGGAATGGACGTGTTAGTAAAGGTTGTTTGACTGTCAGTTATGCAATGTACGGGTAAGGTTGTTTGACTGTCAGTGAGGGAATGGACGTGTTAGTAAGGTTGTTTGACTGTCAGTGAGGGAATGGACGTGTTAGTAAGGTTGTTTGACTGTCAGTGATGCAATGTGGGCGTGTTAGTAAGGTTGTTTGACTGTCCGTGAGGGAATGGACGTGTTAGTAAAGGTATTTTGACTGTCAGTGAGGGAGTGGACGTATTATAGTATGGTTGGTTGAATGTCAGCGAGGAAGTAACCGTCTTTATACGTATTACCGTCTTTAGTAACGTTTTTATACTGCCCGTGAAGGAATGGACGTGTTAGTAACGTTGTCATCCTGTCAGTACCAGTACTACAACAGTATCAATTACTATTAATTTTCATAATTCTTAATCAAAATTTGTCTATGTTGCAAGAGCTCTATATGATTGGATAACTAATATTGCTAGCATACGACGTGTATGTTGCTAAAAAAAATCTATATAAGTGCTAATATACGCTGTACAGAAAATGATGATGCCTATATAGTGTCACAAACATACAATCAAATATATATACTAACTGCGATATTCTGTTTGTTAAGTGGTGTTGCGGGCCCTGATGTGTTTGCTCTAGTTGAGAGTGAACGGCTTGGAAGAACATCCAGCAAAGAGCAATACGCGATTTATTACCGGTAAATGTATTTTTTATGAATATTCGTAGTGCTACTTATCACTAAATTTCTTTGTGCGTAATATTATAGTTCGTATTTATCAGCCATTTAACGTGCTGAATTTTGTCGTTGAAACAAAAATTCTATAAAACTTTTCTGTTATACATTCGTGTGCAATGAATGTCTAAATGAATTCGACCTTAATTGACATTTGTCGATTTATCGGACGCAATAAGCACCAATTAAAGAATAATCTGATTAAATATTTTTAAGCTAGGCGTTAGTTATATCTACAGATGAATCTCATCTCTCTCTCTCTCTCTCTCTCTCTCTCTCTCTCTCT